TGCACCCACCAACGCTCCTACTCAAGCCCCTACCCCTCCCCCTACGACCGCTGCACCGACTGGTGCCACCCCGGCTCCTACTCCCTCCCCTACAATCGCGCCAACTCCACAGCCCACGTCACTGTTCAACATTACGCTGATCAACGCCCAGCCTAACGACACGCGAATGGACTCAATGATGATTGTAAGTTTCTGCAAGCATATCAGAAGTCCCTTCAAGAACTCTTGGATGTTTTCATGAGGGTTATTCTCCCTTTGCACGCATTCAGCTTGTCCTTAACCATTTCGATATCTCCTTTTTCAACCACAGTCGGCGAAGGCCCGCTGGACGGGAATTATCTTAGCTACTCCATCGTCAGTACCCTTCAGTGGAACAGACGACCTCACAGGCGGCCGTTTCCTGCCCGAGTTTGGACCTTACTACAGTGCAGTTGACGACATCATCATCTTCTACCGACTCGCAACTTTGTCGCCAGGCGTTCTCGGCTCGGCGGGACCTACATTCGTTCGAACTCCATCATTCCAGCCCTATGCTGCCACCATGGAGTTCTCTACGACATTCTTTGATGCCAGCGAAGTTACGGAAGACACTATCCTTCATGAAATGGCTCATGCACTGGGTTTTGGATTGGTACGTCTTTGTCTTGCCCTCCCAGCTTTTTCAAAAAATCTTGATTCTGATACGGCTGTCACGTTCCCTCTCACATCTCTGCAACATCTTGGTCACGATGTGACAACTCAAATCAGGTGTGGGATGAGCTTGGGTGCTACTCTACCACTTGTACTGTTGGATCGAATGCCAACGTCTCCTACATCTGTGACCAAGGCGTGGCTCAGTACAACCAAACCAACTGCCCTGATGTAGGACTGCCGGATCTGCTCATCGAGACCAGCTCAGGCAGTGCGGGGTCGGACTGTGGGCACTGGACTGAAGCTGACTACGACAACGAGCTCATGACGCCAATATCCGAGATCCCGGAAGTGGACCAGCCCCTGTCTCGGTTCACAATTGGTGCCATGTCTGATATTTGGGGCCCTGTGAACGTGTTGGAAGCGAACAACTTTACGTGCCCGGGGGTGGGTGCGGCGTCGGTCATGAGCGGCCCGCAGCATACGTCGATACTGCTACGTCCAGTCAACATCAAGGACGCTCTCATCCAAGGAGCGGCCATGGGTGAGACTGTGTATGAACATCAGCTCGTGAACTTGACGCCTGCTGAGCGTCAGGAGGTCGTTGACGCTCTGGCAGCGATGGGGAAGACGGTTGACCAAGCTTCTCCGCATGAACGTCAAAGCCGCCGCCGTCGATGATTTCGGAGGTCTCGACACACCTATTCGCTACGAATTACGCTATAAGAATATAGGACGAAAAGACGAGGATAGATCGCTCGCAGTTGTTGAATATCTCGTGATAATGCTTGGTCTCTAGGTACTGCAGCAGCGTGACGTCGACAATTCTGGGAATATATCGTATATTGAATCCTAGGATTTCCTCAAGGATGATATGATAGGACGGGTATTTATGGTACTGCAGCGTGGGAGGTTATTCTGTCGGAAACGCCTGTAAGCTAAATCTATGATTCACATTCTCTGCCTCTTTGTCAAGGAGCTGTGCCTGTCAGAAGTCTCTCATCCGTGGCAGTGGAGTGATATAAAATAAGGAATACTGAAGTACACGATAGAAAAGAAAGGATAAGAAAGGAAGGACAAGGTATGACAGAGATATACCTCACAATCCAAATTTCGGGGCACTCATGCAGTCAAACAAAACAAGATATGGATAATAAAGCACAAGGAAGATGACGCAAAAGAAGAAATATGAAAATACAACAATTAAAGTAGGTTGTTAAGCATCTCATGATATGCGCGTTTGTTTGGATGTGATGTCCTCATGTACCCTGCGTTGCTACGCATTAAGCCAGGCGACCTCTCAATGGTCTGTATCGAAGCCTTTTTCCCATAGATCCGCCTTTGCCTGTCTTATATCCTCGGAGAGCGCTACAACAGCCTCAGGACACGTATTAAAACACATGAGGCTGAGACCTATACTTCCAAGCGCATACGCGCCCAGCGAAACCAGAATCCAGAGGGGAAACTGCAGGGAAATAGAATTTGGAGATGGGTGGTGTCAAACACATGACCAGACATGATCCGCCGAACATGGCAAGATATCCATTCGATGTGAGTCTCCTCCCCCCATGCATCCCTCAACGACGTTGTGTCCAGCCTCACCGTCTCAAGTACGTCCGTCACGGGTTGTGTGAAGTGGAAGCTCTGCAAAGGGTCTGAGTACAGCATGAACCAGACTGCGGTGCACAACGTGAATATGAGGAGGAGGCCCATCCATCGAGGTGGGGCCAAGAGAGCTGGGTTGGGGGGCGGACGAGACATGCTGATGACGCGCGAAACGAAGACGAAGGCCAGAAAGCCAATGCCTTGGACGCCAGTGGTGTAATGCCTGGGAGGAATTGATGCAACGAAGGAATAACGCGTCAACAAATTGTCACATAGGATCAAAATGGTTGAAGTATCAATCGTACTAAGGACTCGCATCTTGTAATGACGGATGAACAGTGCAAAGTGTCTTCGACAAACATGCAAGTGGGACAGAAACGGAAAAGGAAAACGCAAGCGACACAAAGAGGACAGTATCAGTCCGGCATCATCTCAATACAAGTGACAAGGATTCACGTCTATAATCCCGAGCACCTGATGACCTGAGCCGAAGCCACGATAATCCTCAGAATAACGCACAGATGGCAATCCCAGCAGCTTAAGGGTCTTAACGACCATCGTGTGGTAATCTGTAAGAAGAGTAGCGCATAACCCTAACCCTATCTCCTGAATAATCTGTTGTTTTCTTCCTATCTGAGACCTTTTTATCCTTCATCCCATCCCATTGAGGACATGGCTAAGGGAGGGTATTAGACCGAACGTTTAGGCTCAATTCTTTATTACAAAGAAGAGAACGGCCTACATGCATGAGATAACCACGGTATTCCATTGGTCCTAAGGCATTTTAAGGACCATGAATGCGAGGGATGACAGGGGCGCAGCACCCTTTTGTACCTGTATGCGCAAAGACTAGCTCTGTTGTCTTCCGATTATTACTGTTCGTGATATCGATCTGTTCATTGCAGCCACGACTGCTACACTCGGTAGGGCCACTGCAGCACATGGCGAATGAGCTTTCATTTCCATAGGTCCTGGCAATCACGACAAAAAAAGAAATTAAAACCGTATCAGCACAAGGTCCGTGTGAGGACCGCTTTATTCACAGTGTTTTTATGAAGGCGGCTACCTTTTAACCTCCCCTACCTCGTCTCACAAGGATGATAATTTTACCCCCGCTTTCAAACATGCACAAGCCCCACGTGCCCATGATATATGTGCTGCAGCACTATGCATGGGCAAATGTTCCCACCTGCCGTGAAGAGGACGAGACGTTGGTGATTATTTTCAGTCTCAACGTGGACCTCCCAAATGAGCAGTGGGTGGAGGGCGGGAGGGTGAGAAGGCAGAAATGTAGGGTAGCTTGTCTTTTTGATTGTGAAACGCCAATCGATTATCGTAGTTCATAATCTTTGAGTAACGAAGTCTCCTTCTGGCATGTACATGATTTTCTTCCCTCGGTCGTTCTCCCACTCCCTCCCTTTTTCTGTTTCCAACCTGTAAAGTTATTTGACATTTTAAAGACATTGTGCTTTCAGATCCATCAGCTGTTATCCCCTCTCATGACGTCCCTGTATATTATCATGGAGATGTAAAAAAATGTCGGCACCTGTGGAATAAGTAAACACCAAAATATGTAGTTTTTATGGGAGGCAATTCCAAGGACGATTCAATTAACCTCTCGAGAGCCGGAAGGTTAATCCACTTTTTGAAAAAGGTGGAAAAACATCCCATGAACTCTTTAATCCGATAAATGAAAGCCATACGATAAAAATCATGTCAAATTTAAGAAAATGCTTTCCCTCTCAAATCCTCCTCCTCGATTCCTTCTACTTTTCAGAACCATGCCACTGCACACCTTCACGAAGATCCCATTTGCCATGCCTTGCTCTTGAATGCTTCCCATTATTTGAAAAAATCTCATTTTCTGAATTAAAGCGAGCTCACTCGTCAAAGAAGATGTTGGAATGCTCCAAGCAAGGAAAACCTCCTGGGGCAGAGGGGTGTGTGCGTACGACATAGATCCGCACAGAAACAGTATTCGGTAAACCAGCGTCAATAGGCTTAGGATACGAATAAATGTGTAGACCGCAGCACCATTTTTAAATGAAATGTGTACATGTGGTTTGCATGTGCATCTTTGCAGCATTTGAAGAGGGTGGCGCTTTGGGATGTTAGATCGAGACCGGGCGGCGAGCTACAGCTGGCTCCCGTCGCGCCAGCCAACCACTTGACAAAAGACCCGAGAAGCCGGGTGGAAAACGCCCACGACCTCTCCTGAATTCTGCATGTTCAGTGAAGGCTTGACAATGACCAATTCCATGCCCTGGGGTCCCGATAAAGGGAGAAGGAGAGAAAAGACGTTTCCTCGACCTCCTCTCATATGCAGCTGTTCACCCTCACAGCCCGGTGATGAGGCAATACCAGTTTCTATCCTAACCCCTCATGCATCTCTACGTATGACAGGACGGTGTGTCAAGATGGCATTTCGGAACCTTCTTGGCAGTCTGGGAAGACAAAGTAAATCGTCCCGGCCTCTCAAGACGACTTTCGCCCCTGTCCGCCACACCGTCGCTCCCTCCTCTTCCTCCCCCTTCCTCTTTTCCACTTCTGCCCGTGCGGGATCGACTACGCCGGTGACTGTCATGTTGAGACAAAGGAACGGACACCAAAAGGCAACCAGCTCTAATTTGGCTGTTCTAGGAGTAGCCATACTTGTCGGGTGCGTGTCTCCAGTCTAACCTCCTCCTCCCTCGAGCTTCCAACCGCCATGTATCATGGACTTTCACTTTCATTTCTCTTAAGTGGCGAGAAAAGTCATCTTTCGGTCTCAACTATCGTGCATCTCCTCCTCACAGAGACTCTCAGCTCTCCCTCCCTCCCTTTCTTCTCCTTCCTCTCTCCTTTCCTCTTCTCTTCCCTGCTCTTTCTCTTACCCAGCTACATGGGCGGGAGCACGCTTCCCGCCGAACAGTCCCCTGCCCATGTGGACAAGAAGAAGGAGGAGGAAGTGAACCAGTTATTGAATAAAATTCGACGGGTGGAAAGCCAAAGCCGGCGGGTGCCAGCTCCCAGCCCCTCAGTGGACGTGGTGTTGGGAAGTCAATGGGGAGATGAGGGAAAAGGGAAGCTGGGTAAGAGCGCAAGAGATAGGAGGAGGACGGGAGAATAGGAGGGCAAGAAGCAGAGAGCGATGCGAGAGATGTCTCGTGTTGAGCTCCAGATTTTTCTTTCCTTTCTTTGGACCCGTCACCTTCCCCTCCCTCCCTCC